GTAGTACGTATGTTTATTTCGACTAAATAGGGGAACTAATTCGCAAGCAGACTCGACGACTTCCAGCCTCCAGAACAAGCCGGTTTCCGAAAAGGCTTTAGGTCAACTCGGATTCAACTCGGATGGGCAGCGTTCGGGAAATTACGACACTCACACATTCGACACTCTTCTCGTCAGGTATACCTCAAAACCTGAAAACAAAGTTGTACAACCAGTGCGTGTTGCCAGTGATGACCTACGGAATCGAGACGTGGTCATTCACTGCTGGCCGTATGAGGACGCGAGACGGAGTATGGAGAGGGCTATGCTCGGGGCTTCTCCGCGTGATAAACTTAGAAATGAGGATATCCGAAGTAGAACCAGAGTGACCGACATAGCTCGACTGATTAGTAAGCTGAAGTGGCAATGGGCCGGCCATATAGAAACCGACAACCATTGGGGAAAAAAGGTTCTCGAGTGGTAGCCTCGTACCGGTAGGCGAAGTATAGGATGACCCCCCACTAGATGAAGTGACGACCTGGTAAGACATGCAGGAAGTCGATGGATGCAGGTGGCCCAGGGCGTGCTTTGTGGCATACCTTGGGGGAGGCCTATGTTCAGCAGTGGACTTGTGAAGGGCTGTAATGATGATGGTGATGATGAAGTAGGGGAAAAATAAAACAATATTAATATGAAAGAAACATTGCTTTTATTTTAATAGCCTTTTTTAGGTCAATTTTTGTACCAATTCGTTTCGTACCACACGACGAAATCCTTTATTTGTGTAATAAAAATCGTTATCTTCAAAATGTGTCGAACAAACTACGCTGCGTACCGTTGGATTCCACGATGGCTCATTCCGGCTAACTCGGAACACTTCTATCCACTTCTCTTTAATCTCTTTATTTCGGATGGGAACCTCAAAAATATAGATTTTTGAAGTGATGATAAAAAATAAGAAAAACAAAAAAAATTATGCCTATTTACACTTACATTAATATTATGAATATTAGAAGTAAAATAGAAATAGGTAAATGAACGTGTTACATTAAGTTTCGCGTCACATTAATAACTTACTGAATTAATGGGGACTACAGTGACGCTTACTAGTGGCAACACTTGTTGAGGTTTTATGTATGTGTATTAAAAATTTGGATTTTTATGTTTATTTTACGTATGATATGTGATTCAATCCTGCTTTTTATTCCTGGAAAATTAGTTTTTACACCCTTTTACAACAAAATTCGGTATTTTTCCTTTAAAATCTGCGAATTATTATTAAATAGGAATAGGAATAGCTCGAATGACAAGGTAAGGCGTAGTTTCGTTTTATGTGTGTGCGTGAAACTGTGTATGTACAAGGCAAGGCGTAGTTTTACCGGCCTCAGTGCGCTGTTCGGCGGGGCTCTGTCTTGACTTTTTATTTCGTCTGAGAAATAAAGATACATTTATTGCATAACTGTGTACAATATGATCTTAGTACAAAAACATATAGTTTTATGCTCAACAGTTTACCCATTTCGGATATGCAACCATTAAAAATAATTTTATATCATTGAAGTAATATGTACTTATTTTATATTTACTACTTATTAATAGAGATACAATTAACATTAATTTTATTAAAAAAAACTCTGAGATTGTAAAAAACATTTTCAATTAACAATTTCTTTAATTTTGTTTTAAACATTTAATTGTTTAATAGCTGGTGGTATGTTAGTAATATAGGTACTTTTATAGTAAATCATATTTTTAATAATAGGTAAGCTTTTATCATATTTATTTTGATTGCGAATGTTTTTCTTTGAATCAGTATTCAAATTAAAATATTGCATATTGTTTTTAACAAATAGACATAATTCTAGGATAAAGATTCCAGTCAGTGTTAGGAAACCCTTTGTTCTGAAAACATCTCTTAATGATTCGGTACTGTGCATGTTATATATTGTTCTAAGACATTTTTTCTGGAGAACGAATGTGGATTTTATATCTGTAGAGTTTCCCCAGTATATGATACCGTAAGTTAGAAGTGGATAAACGCTTCCAGCACCAATGCGTACCGAAAAAAATTCCGTTTTAGATTTGAACATTATTCACCCTATAAAAAAAATTTATACATCTTTGTCCCCTATAACATTCACTTATTTAATTGGATTATTTTTATTTTCTAAATTACAAGATTTGATTTTTTTAGGGGTATTTTTTTGTTTATTTATTTAAGCCAACCAGAATTTTAATTATTTATTTAATCAAACGAAAAATTAAAAAAAAAGTTAAAAAAAAAGAAAAAAAAAACCAAGCCCCCCAGTTACATTCAAATTCAAAAACACCTTTTTTTTAATTTTTTATAAATTTTTAAAAATAATTTATCACATTTATTAAAAAAAATTCAAATTTTATTAAAAAAAAAAAGAAATAAAAAAACCTTTGCGAGATTTTAAAAAAGCAAAATTTCAGAAATGTTATTTTGAAATCCGTATTGGTTTTTCTTTAGAATATTATTAATATCCAAAAACTTTGTGATTCTTATATATAATACTTTTTCAAATATTTTCGAAAAACTTGGTAACAGTGCAATTGGTCTATAGTAACTTATGCAATATAATGACTAATATAATTGGAGCAATAAAGGATATTATGCTTTCTTTGATTACTCTAATAGGTATATTATCATATCGGTAACAGGGTTTGTTTTTTAATTTTTAACTATGTTTATTATTTCACACTTATCTACTGGATAAAGGAACCTACTTTTCAAGTTAGAACTGTGTTGTGGCTTATGATTATTTGATGTTAATGTGCCGCATAATTGTAAGTGACTCCTTTAATCCATACCCATCTGAAGCCAACTTCAAACAATACGTTTCCTCTACACCTACATGAAAAAGCCACGAAGCAGCTGTATTATGATTGTAACACAAATGGGTCGGCTCGACCGGGGAAGGACTACGCTCTCAGGCCTTCATGAATCTCTGAAGACTAGGCCTACAGTCCGAGTTCAGTGAAAAAGTACAAAAAAAAATTAACTATAACGTCCCACGAATAGAGAACGTTATTATACCTACGACTTAAAATATTGCGTTTACCTAGGTTTAATTTTATACCATGTTTTATAAAAATAGATTGAGAATTTAATATTTGCATACTTATAACATAGAAATTTAAATTCTGAATTATTTAAACCTTAGTGAATAATTAATAAAAATGTTTATTAATTAAATAAAAAAATTAAAGTAATACAGAACAGCATAAATCCCCAACCCCTACCACTTTACTATCAATTATAATAGTTTAACATACATAAAATTAAATAATTAAATAACATTGACATTAAGAAAAAGAAAATAAAACGTAAAAAAACACTTTCTCGCAATTTTTCTATTGTTTTTCTGTCCGCCAAAATGAGTGAATTTAACGAAGAAATTCGATAAATTCTGAAGTTTTATTACAAGAAAAGGGGAAAAATGCAACTCAAGCTGCGAAAAAAGTATGTGACGTTTATGGACCGTGTCAGTAAGAATAACAGAAAGTTGGTTCGTTTTCAGTCCGGGAATTTTCATGTCTCTGGTCGCCCTCATACGAATATACTCGATGCCAATTTTGAAAAAGGGGAACGAGATCGGCATATTAGTAGTTACGACATAGCCTAGGAATAGAGAAATGACCACAAAATAGTTTTGACCCATTTGAAAAAATCTGGATGTACAAAAAAGCTTGATATTTGGGTACCACATGAGCTCACTGAAAGAAACCTAATGAACCGTGCACTCATGTGATTCTCTATTCAAACGTAATGAAACCGAACCATTTTTGAAAAGATTGATTGCTGGTGATGAAAAGTGGATCACATATGACAAGAACGTGCGAAAAGGATCATGGTCAAAGGGTAGTCAGGCTCCATAGACTGTAGCGTAACCCGGATTAAGGTGCAATAAGGTGATGCGGTGTGTATGGCGGGATTAGAAGGGCATCGTTTGTTGTGAGCTTTAACGTCCGGGCAAAACCATCGATCCGGATCTCTACTGCTAACAAATAATGAGACTCAAGCAAGAAATTGAGAAAAAACAGACGGAATTGATCAATAAAAAAGGAGTGGTCTTTCATCATGATAATGCCAGACCACACAGATCTTTGGCCCAAAAACTGAGAGAGCTTGGCTGGGAAGTGTAAAACATCCACCATATGGTCCTCGTTTCGTATGTTAGGCGAAATACACGCTCAAAAAGGTTCGTTTATTTGTAAACATCTCTGAAGTGGTATAATCTGCAACCTATGAGGAGGCACGACCGGTTTCGCTTGTTGATTAATTAAAGTATTATCCATTAACGTAATAACAAGCAGTAAATCATTAAAACCGAGTTAAAGAATCAAAATGAATATACTAATAAAAAAAAACTATAAAGTCCTGTATGTGGAGGTGATTCACAAATATAAATTTTACGTCTACAAACATCCAGACCTGGAACAATTATGTGAGGGCTATACCTTTGGTCAGTGCGGGATTCGATTCAATGATCCCATTTTTATGGGGATAAGGGTGACATGAGCACACAGTCCACCCGCTGGTAAGTGGATGCTGTGGCCCACAGATAGGCACCTACATTTATCCTCGATTACGTATGAAAATGCAGATACATTGTTACCCCTGAATACTAAGATTAAATTCCTCGTTTCCATTAAAAAGGTCTTCGGATATCTACACTCACAATATACAAAATAGTCGGATTAAGCTGCTATTTCACGCTAGTATTCGGTAAGAGCGTGTTCCTCCCCGGTTGAGCCGATTCGTTCTCGACGAGTTCTCGGCCGACGGTTGAGCGGCCATCGCTCCGTGTGATAGTTCGGAGATGTTCTATATATACTGTTTATGATTCGCAATTTTGATAGCGTGATTTAGGCTTCGGTGTGTTGCACTTGCGGCGCGACGACAACGCCGCCACATGTGCTACAACTATAATGTAGTTGGAACACGGTTCATCCACGTATAAAAATTTAATCTAATATTATAACTTTTTACGCAGATTGGAACGCTCACGTCTCTTCTAGTCATAGCTTTGGCGGTGCCGACATACGAGCAAAGCACCCCCCACTCACCATGTCCCAACGTGTTCATGTACGAGCCGTCCGGGACCGAGCCGGGCCGGTGGTACGGAGTCGTCAACCTGTCCACGGACAGCACCCTGCACTCGTTGTGGCTCAACATCGTGCTGGACAGCAAGGCTGATATACTTGGTGTGAGTAAATGACAATGATCCTTTTTATGGACAGAAGTTCCTTTTCCAGGACCACTCTGGGTATCACTATTACTAATTTCTACTGCTCAGTATGTTTCTAACATAATTCGCTTTCGAGTGGTTTTGACACACTAGGCATCACCGCAGAGAGGGCCGTTACTGTACGGCCTGTTTAACCCCACTTCTGAACACTCGTAGATTACCTCTTTGGGGGGATGTTTCACCATAGTTGACACACTTGGCAAGCGTTGGTAACTGCAGTATTTTTTAGTCGTTACCAGGAAGACGCTGCTGCCACGACACCCACGGAATCATATGGGGCAGTGGATATTCTTACACCGTCACTACACGGTAAGCGGAGGGGGCATATGTTATTAAACTTCTGATTAAATTGTATATGTTTTTTTTGTGGAAAAAATGCATGTCGCTAGTCAATAGTCAAATTTTGTTTAGCCTGCAGCACGACTTACCCTGTGCAAAACCGGTTCGGCATATATGGCCGTCAAAGTTGATAATCACTTGCCAAGCAAAATAAAATCTTTGGAAGGACATCAATTTGAAAAAGAATTAAAACAATTTTTGAATGTCAAGAGTTTCTATGATTTTAATGATTTTTTGGATATAAGACTTAGTTTTAAAATTGACATACCTTTATTGAATTTTTTTTATTGACATAAAGTTAAAAAAGTTAAAGTTACAGTCTATATACGTCCCACTGCTGGGCACAGGCCTCCCCTCATTTCTGAGAGGGTTTTAGGGCAAGGAAGTGTCCGCCGCGCTGCCCCAATGCGTGTTGGCGAACTTCACATGTCTTCGAAATATTTTTTTCTTATTTCTCAGACATGCAGGTTTCCTCACGATGTTTTCCTTCACCGCCGAGCACGTGGTAAATCAGCACTTAAAAATGCAATTAACAATTTCATTGGTGCCGGCGGGGATCGAACCCGGTTTGCTAGCGTACTGTGAAATTTACAGCGAGCGCTGACCATCTGAGCTACCACGGCTCCTTTATTGACATGTTTTATTGAAATTTAAATTGTATTTAAAAATTTCATTTATCTATAAATTAATACATACTCGTATATATTGAAATTGGTAGGGTTCATTTACTTGACTGGTTTTGTACCTTTAACTGCAAAAATAACACTGTGTTTTCTCATTGATATATTGTATGATGTAACTAGTTTTCTATTTTGACTTATTTTTCAATTTAATTCATCATTTAACATTTAATTATAGTCTTTTTAATTTGCCATGCCCAAATGGGCTTCATGATGTACCTAAACTGTATTTGTCACCTATTCATATACTCATGAATGCAATAAATAAATATGAAATATATGTAATCAAAATATAATAGATCTCTCGCTTTTAAAAATGCGCTAAATATGTTTAGAATTGATTTATTATGAAAAATTTAAGGGGCAACATTTGCTACAAAACCTTACCAAAAAGTTAAATCCGGCGTTAGATTTCCACAAAATCTTGTAGTCTTTATCTACTTCTATCCTTAAAAGTGCTGGTCACAGCTTCTCTTAATCCAGAACAAACGCCTTGCACCTGTGGCGGCGCTGTCGGCGCGCCGCAAGCGAAACACACCGAAGCCTAAATCACGCTATCAAAATTCCGAATCATAAACAGTATATATAGAACATCTCCGAACTATCACACGGAGTGTTGGTCGCTCCCCGGGCAGAACACCTTGCCCGGCGGGAGATCTCCCTTCTCCTTCCACGGCCACAGTGGTGACCACCCAACGTGATCTGAACACGCAACCAACAACCTTCGGAAACTTCAAGCTTCATCATCGTCATAGAATACTCCACCCATTCGCTCCCGAGCAGATATCGTCTGTAGTCTTCATATCATGCAAGCCATCTAGCTTCACAAGGTTCATCACAACACTGGAATAATAATGCCTGTTCCTTCAAGCTACTCTCTGCGCCATACAGTGTTCGGCACGGCTCTGAGCCTTACTGCTCGCCTCTGCTTCACGGCACTCTCGCAGATTACTTGCCTTCTTCTCGACTCACCGCAGCCTACAAGGCAATCTCCTGGCACTTGCACATTCGTCGGCAACGAGGCTGCACTATCGACCTCCGGTCTGAGCAGGGGGGTGATGTGGCGGCGCTGTCGTCGCGCCGCAAGCGAAACAAACCGAAGCCTCACAATCACGCTATCAAAATTCCGAAGCATAAACAGTATTTATGGAACATCTCCGAACTATCACACGGAGTGTTGGCCGCTCCCCGGGCACAACACCTTGCCCGGCAGGAGATCTCCCCTTTTCCTTCCACGGCCACACCCTTGGCACTGCTGCCATCGCCGATCTGGTATTTTACGTTTGGTGTAAACGAGATGTTTATACCATTTTTTATCGAAAGCCATACAATTTTTCTATACTACATATAGTCTCCTCTCCATCGCCACAGGGCAATTCTATGCAAAGTGCCCGATTTTGCTTATGGTCATATGAACCAAAGGATACTACGGATGGGTTGCCAACCTTTTTTTTACTTTTCAATCCAGATTCCAACTGTGAGAACACAGGAGCATAAAATAAATAAGTTGGTGGTGTAGTGGTGGTGTAAGAATATCTGCTAACCCATTTTGCGCCATGGGTGTCGTAAAAGACGACAAAGGAAATGAAGAAGGAGATGGGCAGCAGCTTCCTAACCAGCTCTTCCTAACAACAACTCAAAATAATAAAAACTACAGATTCCAATCCTCCCTCCAAGCGTGGCAAATATGGCAAAATCCCCCCCCCCCTGTGAGGGAGGCTATAGTATATGAGTTAAAATTATACGCATATACCTAACGGAAGTGTAATTAGGTCACTTACCTTAGTATTTTAATATTATTATATTTGGTTTTAATTCTGGCATTCAATAAACGGACCTCAGCGAGAAAGTATCTTTCATTCGCTGCACTAACGACACTCTAATATCGTAGGAACTACTGTGTGAGAGTAGACTTTTATAGGTTATATATAATAGATAGGTAGGACTGACCCAGACGGACTAGCGGCTGAAAATAAACTCTCAGACGTTTGCCTGAAATGTTTACTAATATGCCTTTATTTTTCAGAATTGGGTGGGAGACGTTACAACGACTGACAACATAGACTTCAAGGTCGAGAATACAAAGATGAAAATCCACCCAGGCCCCGCCGTAGCGGTGCGCTTTTTCGTCCAATACAATCAATTGAAGACGCCAATCCCTCGTCTCCAAGCAATAAGACTTAACGGGCGAGAGATTTGCAACGCAAACAACCCTCAACCAGCAGCCGATAGACCAGATACAAGCTCGTCCAGACCTATATCGAGGCCGGACTCGACGCTGAATCGACCGCAAACTGGCAGACCGGAGTCCAGCCAGGAAACAATAAGACCGGTTGCCACAAGACCAGTCGAGAGTAGACCACAAAGGCCGTCAATCAGACCTGAGGACACGCCAATAACAAGACCTGTGCACGGAACCCCGTCCAACGCTGGGCCTGTGTACATTCCAACGTCAAATCCACCTATAGATCAGATCAATGTCAACCCGTATGGAATGTGAGTGATTTCATTTCGTGATCTTTCCAGCACTGATTTAAAAGGTTTAAGAGAGCTTTTCGTAGATTGCTTGAAATTTTTTTTTCTTACAAAGCGCTACCTCCACACTAGAATTTTCTCTTGTATCGTAGGGCCAGTTTATATAAATTTTATAAGGGCAAACAACCAGACTCGGAAATATTAGCATCTGCATTTTGATTCTTAATCAAGGATAAATGTAGACGTCTATGGGCTACAACATCCACTTGCCTCAGGTGAACTGTGTGCTCGTTTGTCACCTTTATTCTATAAAAAGTGTGAAAAATATTATTTCAACCGACTTCAAAAAAAGGAAGGGGTTCTTAATTCGACTGTATTTTTTATGTGTTACCTCAGAACTTTTTTTCAGGTGAACTGATTTTGATGAATCTTTTTGAAAGCAACTGAATTTGAAAGCATGTGCTTTTCATGTGGTTCCCATATTGATCAAGATCTGACCAGCAGTTTTTGGTTATCCTTAAAAATGCGTATTTAATTTACTTCGACTACATTGATGATGTTCTCATTTCATTTACAAGTCGTTTGTATAAAAATTTTAATTTTACCACTTGTACTTCGAAGTTTATCTATATAGTGGTCACACCCAGATACTTATTGTTGCACCAACATTTATATGTGAGAAATAAAGCGAGTGAAAGCATTGAAGCGGTCCTTCACGCTTCGCGCGCGTAAGATGAAGTGACGACCTGATGATACACGAAGGCAATCGATGGGTGCAGGCAGCCGATGTGTCAAGACCGTACCTCGCGGCAATCAGTAGATTAAGCAGTAGCAGTTAATAAATTAAAGATATTCTATTCTATTCCGGAACCGATCTAGTTTATCTAAACACATCATCATGATATTTCATATAAAAAATCAATTGCTGTCCGTCAACCTTGCTAAAACTCAAAAACAGCTGACAGATTTTGATAAAATTATTTTTCAGCGTTTGAGTGGGTCCTTGAATGGTTTAGATTCACACTGACTAGATGGCGATCTTGTCGAGATCCAGAAATCACCCGTGCGAAGCCGAGCGTTAGAAGGGTTACAATATTTATGTATACCTTTTCCTTTTTTAATGGATTTTAATTCAAAAACTATATCTACCCAATTTTACAAAATGCTAAATCAATTCTGGGACACATAAAAACCAAATCAACCAATAATAAAGTTAATATGTTTATATTGCCGCGATCTCTTGAGAGCGAGATGGAAAATTTAAGGGTCATTGCCTTGAGACTTGACTTTCAAATTACCATCGTACGTGAAATAATATGTAAGATTTGCCTCCGCGTTTTGCTTACTTGTTAATTTCTTCGGTATGTTTATTGTCTATATATAGTTTACTTAATTCAATTTATTTACCTCTTCACAACTTAAGTACTGGCTAGTTTACAATAACAATGTAGTGAGGACCTAACGTTAAGAGAGATTTTTGCCTATTAGGTACAGGTTTTATAGAGTAGACCCTCGCGGACAGGTTACACTTTTAACCACCTGTTTTATTAACTCAGTAATAATACTGAAAGGAAATATATCATAAAAAGTTACATTAAAATGCGAATTGTAGAATCCATTCAGTGGATACAAGCGTAATTTACGCTTATGCGTAAATTACGTAATTACGAGCATCCTTATGCGTAAGAACAAAACCACACACAATTTTTTTTAAAACCTTCGTGTGAACGCACCCAACAACTCATAAAACAAGTGGTATCTACTTCAACATAAATAAAATGAGAAAATGAGTCAATTAAATACGTAATTACGTATTGTTAAGGATAACTCAAAAACTGTTAAGGATAACACGAAAAGCACCAACTTTCAAATAGAAAAAGAATCATAAAAAATGCTGAGGTAACAGTAGCCTAATGGCAGGGCTCAGACCGCGAACTCAAAACGTCGTGGGTTCGAATCCGCCATTCGACTACTGTCGTGAACCACTCCTAACACAAGCGTTGTAACTTCACCAGGAGTGGTTAAAGGAAAATTAGTAATGTTAATTAATAGGATTACTAATATTTATTTAAAAAAAAAAAAAAAAAACTAGAACACGCACAAAAAAACATATAGTCGAATTAAGTACCTCCTCCTTTTTTAAGTCGGTCGAGAAATAATACCTTCATTGTAATCGAAGGGATGGAATAGGAATACGAATAAAAGAACAAACGCATAAACAAATATTCTTTTTAATAAAATTCATGTAATTTATGTGGGGAAAATTTTTAATATTACGGTAGACTTGTTTCTATCTTGCTTATGAGTTGTTAAATTACTTCATCTGCCCTTTTTTCGAGACTGGTAACACTGATCGGCGGCTTAATAGTCTTGTTTCGTCATGCAAAATGACTTGTCGATTTATCTCGAGAAACAACAACATAATACAGCAAGATATACCTAACTGTTTTTAATTCACTCACGGATTCTTGTATCGTCGGAAGACCATGTTCAATCGCAGATGCTGTTACAGCCTATTAAAGTCCACTGATTAACCTAGGCCACTCCCATTGATGCCTCGCAGGAGGGTATTTGCCACAGTTGCCACGCTTAGCAAACGGGTTGGCTACTACAGTTTTTTCCATTATTATTCAGCTGTTATCAGGAAGATGCTGCTGCCCGACTTCTGTTACAATTTCTATCTAACGCCTCCTACGACACCCAGGGGGTGATATGGGGTAGTAGATGTTCTTAACCCACCACTACAAGAATGTTAGATTGCAGATAAATTTATGTAAGTTTACTTCGTCGTTGAGCCGTGGTAGCTCGAGGGCCAAGCACTCGCTGTAAACGCAGTATACAGGGGCAACCCGGGTTCAATGCAACAATGAAATTTTTGGTTGCAACTTAAGTGCTGATTTACCACGTGTTCGGCGGTGAGGAAACCATCATGTGAATGAATGAATGAATGATCGTATGAATGAATGACTAAATGAATGAATGGATGAATTTATTAAATATAGAATCATTTTTATTTACCACTGGTTCGGAAAAGAACTGTCCTGGGAAGAACCAGCAGGAAACCCAGCGGAACTTTTTTTGACATGTGAACAACACCCATTAGGGAATTTCCTTGCCCTAAAACCCTCTCAGAAATGAGAGGAGGCCCGTACCCAGTAGTTGGACGTAAATAGGCTTTACTTTACAACACATTACTACTTCGTCACAACAGATACAAAGGGACCTACTAAGAAGACAAAAATAATGTACAGAGCTGTACTCTACTATACATACTCTTTGTCTTAGGTCATAATAAAATAATACAATGTTGCCTATAAAGTAGGCGTTGCCAACTACTCATTGCAGTCATTGTATTAAACATTGCATGAACTAAGCGCACTTTCTCACATCTTCATCTTTTTTTCTGTTACATCATTAAAACATAGTTTACAAAATTAGAATTACCATTATCTACCAGCATTGTATTAACTGATTCAGGTAGACACTAACATTCCTTCTATACAACAGTGATAGCCGGCCACAGTCTAGCAACAGGCCAAACAATGGATACGGCCTGACCACATCATCGTACGGTACCACCACGGACAGTGATAGCAGCGAAATTGATGATTTCGATTCCGTAAGGTTAGTGACTTACTAGCAACACTGCTTCGACGCCTTCAACTACTGTCGCTTGTTCCATAGAGTAACGTACATAATATGTATGCACCTGATGTCGGCATTTCACTGCAATTTTTTACTATTTCTATGTGTGTAAATGTAGCCGATTCAAGCGATAGCAAATTAATAACTATATAATCTATTAAATAATAAAACATATTTTTTTAAGTGCCTCGATTTTGGAAACGATGTCGAAAATAGACACAACTCATATCACCAACTCATAGCCACAATAGGAACTCTACCTAGTAATAAATAATAGTAATAAAAGACTTTATAATAATAAATAGCGAAATAATAACACTACATTAAAATTATTTTCCGCAGTAAACCAGATCCCAGCGTGTATTTCACTGGAGGTCTACAGACCATTATAGTGCCGGACGAGAATGGTTCCAAAAACAACAACAACTACAATAGCAACAGCAACAACAACAACCGTAAACCAAGGGTAAGTTACTATGCAATTTGTTTTAAGTAACAAACAACAAAAGTGTACGATTTATAATATTACTTACTTGGGTTGTTGTAAAAAAAATTTTTTTTCTTGGATTTTTGTTATTGAACATTCGATCCCAGTATAACTAACAATACATTTACCATTAATCTGCACACACTTGCAATATCCGAGGTGAGAGTACGAGAACGTAGAATACCTTGTTGATGGTAAGTGGCTAATGTACTTGCAATTACCAAGCAAAGTTTTAAAAAAAAACGTTACAACACTGTTGTTGTAATACATGAGTAGATAAACGTAACGGAGACAAAGCTTCTTAAGAACGAAGAATTATTACGTGGCAGAGCCACGCTGCAGCTATATTGTGGTTGCAGCACGAATGGGTCGGCTCTACTGAGGTAGGACCACGCTCTCGTACTAGCTGATGGTAAGTGATGCTGTGGCCCATAGACATCTACATTTATCAATGATTAAGAATCAAAACGCAAATGCTTTGCCAGCCCTGAGGACTGAAATGGAATGCCTTGTTTCCAGTAAAAAGGGTCTCCTGTTCTCTAATCTCTCTCACATTCACTTACCATCAGGTGGACTGTGTGCTCGTTTGTCATCCTTTTCTATAAAAAAAAAACATTTATCCTCGACTGAGAACCAAAACGCAGATACGTTGTCACCTCCGAGGACCAAGATGGATCGTTTTCAGTAAAAAAACTACACTACACTCACCACACGAAACACAGCAGCATTAAGCTGCTATTTTACGCTAGTATTCTGTGAGAGCGTGGTCCTTTCCCGGTCGAGCCGACCCATTCGTGCTGCAACCATAGAATAGCTGCATCGTAACTCTACCACGTACAAAAATCAAAAACTTATCTAAAAGTTCTCAAATAAATAATATTGTGTAACAAAAACTTCACCGAAGTCCCAATTGCGACATCTGGTGAGCGGAAGTTTATTAGCCCTCATTACAAACTGTCGTGGTACTCAACCTTATTCCTCAAAAGTGACAACGCATCTGTAGGCGTCTTTGTTTGAAGGTTGCTGCAGGTGTCCATGGGTTTCAGTAGCCATTGCATTTACCATCAGGTGACAGGTGAGGACGATCTGAAGTGCCTACGTTTGCCAATTCGGTTTTATAAAAAAAAATTAAGTCATCATTTATATTTGCGCCCTTTTAGGTTAGCTCCCTGCGTACTGCCGTTCAGGTACCGGATATTCAATTTGGATTTAAAATTGTCTTAAAAAGAATCTCTAAGACATAACTATAAGGAAATTAAAATATTATCTTTGAACTGTCAATTTACGCGAATGTACACGAACATTTGTAGTTTTAATAAAATAAGTGATATTCATTACATAAATACTAGAACAGACAAAAGCTAGTAGTACCAGTTACTAAATTCCTGCTGATGAAAGCTTTTAGAACAAAATCCTAGAAAATATACAAAAGCTGACTTCCGACAAGTTTATTGAGAAAATACAACTGCTAGTGCTACACCAAGTAGGCAACCTTACTGAAGATTAGATAAATATGAATTAACAAATCTATACTAATATTAAACCACCAAAAAGAACCACTGTTCCACAGAAATCGTAACACAATAGTAAAATAAAAAAGTAGTAAAAACTCATCAATGACGTGTAATTTAACTAATAAAGGCATAAAATTTCATCGGTAAGATGATTATTTACTAAAATATCATTGATTTAACTAATTTACATTAGATGAATACTTTACTATGATATTTACCTTTGTGAACCTTCATTTATTACTTTTTGTATTGACAACTACCATTGCTGATTTTGTTCCACCGTAATACGCGACGTACGCAACGTTGACAAACTCGCCAAGCAATGTAATGTGTAAGATTAGATATCATTGTGCATTGCGTATGTTTATAATACGGCTGCAGGTGGTGACATCGGTTTTGGAAGTAATCGAGCGCTAATTATCATTTCTATTGTCTTATTATTACTATTTCTGTGCACTGTACCTATTTGAGAAACTCTTTCACAGTTGAAAGTACATATCAATACATTGTTCATTCACCCTTCACAAGTCCACTGCTGAACACAGGCCTCCCCAAAAAATTGCCACAAAGCACGGTCCTGAACCCCCTGCATCCATCGATTTCCTGCATGTCTTACCAGGTCGTCACTCCATCTAGTGGGGGGTCGCCATACACTACGCCTACCGGTACGAGGCTGCCACTCGAGAACCTTTCTTCCACATCGGTTATCGGTTCTTCGAGCTATATGGCCGGCCCATTGCCACTTCAGCTTACTAATCCGTTGGGCTATGTCGGTCACTCTGGTTCTACTGCGGATATGCTCATTTCTGATGATATTCGTCGACTAAGTCGGAAAAAGTCGTGATTCCTGAGAGAAGCTCTCAAGAACCACCGTGCTCTGAGCCAATAGTTAAAGTTGCACAAAAATAATGCGTGGCTGAATTGTTCGACATGCAAAGTTCTAAAAAAATGTCTGCATGAGCATATTATGCTTATCTTCTAAGAACAACTCACAGTAACCCTTTTTAACCGACTTTAAAAAGGAGGAGGTACTGAATTCCACTGCATGTATTTTTTGATGTGTTACCTATCAAAAAATTCAAAAATAAATTTGAACAACATCTGACCAATAGTTCTTGAGTTGTCTTTTCTATTGTGTATTTAATTGACTTCATAAATTGATGATGTTCTCATTTTATTTATATTGACGTCGGTTGTACGTTGTTTTTATTTTACCACTTGTGAAATCAAATTTGCGCAACACGATATGCATATACTTAATCCATTTATTTTAAAATCTCATAAAAATGGAACAAAAATGTGGTACGTACCTATACCATTTTCAGATTTTCAAATTAAATTATACCTACCTAATTTTAAGATAGACAATTGTTCAACCCGGTCCGCTGCGCTGGTATTGTCTTAACTGTTTGATAACGATTTTATTTTAAGTTATAATTTGCATGAAAATTGTTTTCTGGGTAATATCATAATGCAAATGTAGAATAGAATATTAATGACGTACATTCGAGTATCCATTTCGTTTTTATACAAATCCGGTCGCGGAATATGTTACACAAATTTTATAATCAAATTAAATAAAGTAGGGTCTCTAATCGCTTGACCTTTATCAAGGATTATTAACATTTATTTTAATTTTCATAGTTTTCAATGTATCTTTAATTTAAATATTTTTCATTGCAAAAGCGTTCTGTGTGTAAAAAAAGCTTTTTTTTACTACAGATGTTAAAATTATTTAGCTAATATCCGCGTAAAATAAGAATCATGTATCATAACTATTTTAGGGAACACCTCCCGCCCTCTCCCAACTGTATACATTGTCCCCGTCACCACTAATCCCAACACCACTACACGGACTACATAAGGCGGCAAGGATGTCATACCATTATTGTACGAGCAACCATTATTGTAACTAGTACAATAGTGTTTGCTCGCCTTCCCGCGCGAAACCTCTTTAATATTAAATGACTAGCTGTTCCCCGCGACTTCGTCCGCGTGGAATTTTATACGATGAATTTCATGGGTTTAAATTTTTATAACATCAGCTATATGTCAGTGAAAATCCCGTCCAAATCGGTCGACCCGTTTCGGGGATTACCCGGAACAAAAAGACGTACAGACGGACGGACAGACAGACAAAATTTTTATGATTGTTTTAAATAAGTACCGTATATACTTTCGTATGCATTTAGTAAAAAGCTATTATTTTTACATTACAAACAGACAGTTCAATCTTATTTATTTGTATAGATTTAGAGGTTAGATTATAGAGAGACGGCTTGCTGCTAAACTAAAACTTTTGATTACTTATAATTAAATATTTTGTCAATATTACTATTGTGACATTTATTGTGGCCTCAACCTTTGAATAACCTTTATAATGACCAAAAAATCTGCGAATTTTAATAAAATCAAAACCATTATTACTTATAGCTTTATTCATGTTGATACAGACTGATATAGACATAGAAATAGTAATAGACATAAACATAGGTTTTATTAGCATCAATACACTCCCAAAATATATATTTAGAAGTAAATAAGAACATAAAACACACAAGGTACAAGATGGTAAAAATAAGTCTCGGCAAGAGTGAGTGATGTGATGCCAAAAATGATTCCGTCTCAGCATATGCTACCACAGGTACTGCAGCAGCGTTGATTTTCAGCGGAGTCCTGAATAGTATTAATTCCATATTGCGCCCGCGTCGTTATCGGCGCTAACATTCCATTTTGAAAAAAATATAATGAATCAACCATTCACTCAAAGTTTACATTTTTAAGAATAAACATGAAAAAAAAATACATATACATACACGTGCATATACACACTCGCACATAAAGATATATTACATTTTACATTGTACTATATACACATTAATTATCCATATACAACACGTAACATAACTAACGCACTTTGAGAAAGTAGTTTGTTCAGAATAGTTTACTGAATCGATTCCTATCTTTTTAATATATGTAATTTTTTATCCCAAAAATAATTAAAACTACGTAAATTACAGTCATACTAAATCTGTACAGTCAAAACAAACTGAAATGGACCGTAACTTAAGGCAATAAGACTTTTAGGAGTGCAGTTTTATCTGTATTATTACTAATTCTGTCATTCAATAAAAATAAAGAAAAATGAACTTTATTTCAAGCACGTTAAAGTCTTTGCGTTCGTGGATTTTTACTGTGACCACAACATTCTTCCGGAATTAGTATAACTAATTTGATAAAAATAAAAATGTTGAACTAAAAATTCAGTGTATGTATTATGATTATAACATAATATACTAATTGGGGTGTCTGAGGCTGTGCGTTAATTACGTTACATATTGTATATTTGTTAAATCGTACTTATGAAATAACCTGCCACTACACGTGAAATCATGATTTTTGAAATACTAAAAGGTGTTTTTTTTAGTTAAGCTTTAAAACCGTTTAGAGATTCGTAGTTTCCCGTAAAGGTGGTGGTAACACTATATATACTAGTATAAATAAAACTATGGTTAGTAGACATCATTTATTTCTCAATAACCATATATTATTCCGATCTTAAAAAAGTAAGAGCGCTTTTGAAAACACGCGTCGGTAAAGTCCCGTCACCGTCACCGACTGCAGTGCAAAGCACTCCGATCAATTTATTACTGAAATCCGGTCTGCGTTCGGCGAATTGCGACGTCAGGTTTGGATGTGTTATAAACCAAGTGATTAACAGTCCATACAGTTAGAAAACAGTAGTGCTCAATAACAGTGGGCAATATGATAAAAACTAGAAATAATAAAATATTTTTTTACGTGGTAGAGCAGCTGCATTACGGTTGTAGCACGAATGGGTCGGCTCGACCGGGGAAGCACCACGCTCTCACAGAATACCAGCGTAAAATAGTAACTTAATGCTGCTGTTTTTCGTATGGTGAGTGTCCCGTCGGTGTCATAAAAGACTACTAAGAGAAACAAGCCAAAATACAGGCGTCTTCTGGTAATAACTACAATAAAAAAGTTTCCAAGCGTGGCAACTGTGGCAAAATAAGGGGGTATTTAGTAATCTATGGTGATTATTGAAGAAAACCGTAATGAATCATCCCATCTTACTCCTGTATCCTGTTTATGCTTATTGATTCATAATCGAAGATAGATGTAGATATAGATTACATGAGTCATATCCACTTACAATTTTATACTGTACTGTACTGTACTGTTGTGTACTATGTTGCAGCTATATTATAGTTGATGCTGCTGTGTTTCGTATGGTGAGTGTAGGGAACCAGGGACCATTTTATCTTAGTGCTAGGGGGTGACAACGTATCTGCATCTCGATTCTTAGTCGACGATAGATGTACGAGTAGATATGTACCAGTCAGATATGATACATCTAGACATGCGTCAGTCGTTCATTTCTAGTGACTAGATGATTCAAGTCGATCATTCAATCCATTTGAATTTCAGAACATTTCGAGATTAAATTCTCTGTGAGATACGCTCGATAATATCGGTCGTCGGACATTACTATACTCTTTGGTCGAAGGTCCAGTCAATCGTTTGACCAAAAAATTGATTACTATCATCAATACTTTGCTGCGACCCGGGTCAAACGAAAGAATCATTCACGACTGACACATGTCTAGGCCACAGCATCCATTTACTATCAGGTGCACTGTGTACTCGTTTGATACTCTTATTCTATATTTTAAAAATACATCAGGGGGACGGTGTGCTCGTTTGTCATACATACACCCAAAAGACTTGTGCTATGTGTAATAAGGACTGTTCGTTCTCAGTTCAGCTTACTGATTCTCATCACCTAATGATCTAAATTTCCTAATGTTTATTATCTAATTTACTTAATGATTATATTACGCAAATGTTTACCCCAGCGAGGCTCAAACAGGCAACCTATGTCACGGGCAGAATCACTAATGACTCGATTTTCCGGTTACTTTGAAACTATTCTTAGATTTTTAAATACAAAAAATAAAATATTTATCATAAATGTTGCTTGTACTGATGATTACAGCTCATAGTTGTTTATACTTCTTTTAACTCTTATAGAAATATAAATAGAAACCTTTTTTATTCAATATAGAATTGAAAAAGTCGTATTTTGTGTTTTATTTACGACTGTTTCCGTAAATACCTCTGTCCTGGTAAGAACCAGTAAGAAACCTAGCGGGAAAAAGTTTATAATCATATATTACGTTACGCAAATAACTAGTAACTACACGGAAAAAATTAGATATAGCTTGGTAACGATCACTTTAGTCCCAGGTGTTATTATCATCATACATTCCTCAATATTTTAATAACCATTTCATACAATCTTTGTTTAGTAAAGATTTCGTACTTGGCGGAGGTCAAATTTTGTAAATATAATTTCTGGGATTCTGTTGTAAATACGTCATACACCGCCACAAGAATTAATTACTAACTCTCTCTCTCGAGTAACTGGCACTACTACTACTACTAGTTTGAAGTTGTTCTTTTAATATTTTTGTCTACAAAATATATTTTTTGCGTATATGTATTGAGAGGAGTTAATGTATTCATTTATTTAAATTTTAATTTAGAGACTATAGGTTTTATTATTATTTTAATTGACACTCTTTAATTAGCCTTAAATATATATGAATTTAATAGAATTAATTTAGTCTTCAGCCACTTCCGTCTAAATTATCCGAAATTTGGCATACATATGAAGGTCTCTGCTCAGCAGTGGACTAGTGAAGGGATTTAATGATGACGATGATGATTATTAAGAACTAATGACAATACAATTACAACACATCAATATATATATATATATATATATATATATATATATATATATATATATATATACTATGACCTCATGATCATTACAACGCATGATCAATGCGTATTCCTTATTTTATTTAGCTTTATTATTGCATTGTATCAATGGTTTTTAAAAAAGTAATAATAAATTGGCCTCGTAGTAACTATAATTCAGAAAAAAATGACCGTATCTTGGTGCACAATGTATTAAGACAGCGACTGATAAACACGACATCACGCAGAGCTTAGTTTATTAATCTTCACATCTTTCAGTCAACAATCAATGATCGGAAACAGCGATGTTTACCACAGGCTTAATAACCATAGAATAAGGAGGACCAAGATGGATCGTTTCCAGTAAAAAAGGGTCTCCGGATCACTACACTCACCATACGAAACACAGCAGTATTAAGTTACTATTTTACGCTGATATTCTGTGAGAGCGTGGTCCTTCCCGGTCGAGCCGACCCATTCGTACTACAACCATAATATAGCTGCAGCGAGGCTGTACCGCGAATAAATGAAATTCTCTTTAATTTTTGTGATGTTGGTGCTGCAGCTTTATCCGACTAAAGAAATTCTATGTTATTTTCAGAGTCAATGTGGAAAGGTGACAATAAACAAGCCCAACCCTCTAATTGTGAACGGGAAGCCGACTTTGGAGGGACAGTGGCCTTGGCAAATAGCACTTTATCAAACTCAGGTAAACTTGTAATTAAATACTTGTAATACGCGGGGTTAACTTAGAGATGACGATTATGTGGTTCCGACAGAATATCAGTAATTCTGTTACTGTATCATATATCTCATGATTATGTGTCAGCTCATACAGCATACATGTTGCAATCCCATTTTTAATTTTTTTTAGTAATTTTTTTTTGTCTCGTTGGTCTAGTGGTTGCAAACGCGAGTGCTGGTAATGAGGTCCCGTCAGAAAAAAAATAGTTAGGTAGGTTTTGAGCTTTTCTGTCAAAAAATTCTCAGTAGCTGGTGTTTCGTCCCCTGTGCCCTGGAAAGGACGTACAGCTGTTGGCGTTGCGCCTGATCTCAGTCCGGTCGTGTCGGTTTACCGTCCAATCGCGCTATGAGAGTGAGGGAATAGAATGCGGGTGCTTGCGTACACTCTATGCACTATAGTTTTGTCCAGCGCAGATGGCTAGCCTCCGTTGAGGCTTTTCGCCGTGAAATTCGGTCTGGAGGACTTTACATTATTTGCTTACAAGCTGTAACATGCTATTTCACCCCCTCATGGGTTGATTTTCTTAAATACTTTTTTAGTGAATATATGCTTAGTTTCAAGTCAATCAGGCGTATAGTTTGGAGATTTCTTTATGAGTCAGTGATATTCCGCCTGTATCATCATTACCATCATTATCATCATCATCATTATTCAGACCTTCACAAGTCTACTGCTGAACTCAGGCTCCCCCAAGGTATTCCACAAAGGACACTGTGTTCTTTGACTTCTTGCATGTCTTACCTTATATACGAGTACATACAATAGATAATGGATCAATGATGTATATCATTTCAGACGGTGGACAGCAAGTACATCTGCGGGGGACGCTGGTGACGCACCTGCACATTATCACGGCCGCCCACTGCGTCACGCGCAAGGGCTCCAGCAGGGTTGTTAACAAGAACACTCTCACGGTCTACCTGGGCAAACATAACTTGAGGACTTCTGTCAAAGGCGTTCAGATTCGGCTGGTAAGTCTTAACTGGGGGTTTTGACGGAAACTGGAGAGTCGTCGCAACGTTGCTCATGTTTTATCATTTAAATAATGGTTTGAAATATATGGTGATACGTAGTTAGTGATGAGATTTTGTGTTTTAATTGTCACATGTGAACTTATGGTGGAAACGACCAAACAAGTACTTGAATGTTGATATAAACCTCAAGTTTTACCCTATATTATAGTTATAGCACGAATGGGTCGTCTCGACCGGAGAAGAACCACGCTCTCACAGAATACCAGCGTAAAATAATAATAATAATAATAATATTCCACAACTATCACACAACGCCATCTAGTCCCAAGCTAAGCAGAGCTTGTGTTATGGTTACTAGACAACTGATAAACATACTTATATATTTCTAAATACATAAATATTATAGATAAATTACACCCAGACACAGAACAAATGATCGTGCTCATCACACAAACATTTGTCCTGGGTGGGAATCGAACCCACGACCTCCGGCATAGCAGTCAGGGTCACTAACCACTAGACCAACAGGCCTGTCAATAGCAGCTTAATGCTGCTGTGTTTCGTATGGTGAGTGTAGAGAACCGGAGACCCTTTTGACTGGAAACTTAGTCTTCAGTTCTTAGTCCTTAGGGTAGACTCTTAATTGATGATAAATGGGTGCGTTTGGCAGAAAAAAGCGCTAGCAAGCGCTTATAAGCGCTAAAATAGTTTTCGGCCAGGACACGATTGCTACTTCGGTAGCGCTGACACAATCCGCCATTTTGCTTATTTAATTTGTTTGTTTTGAAGTAGAGTTTATAATTTGTTTTGTGCAATATTAGTTTTAAGTAATATAATGTTATGAATAGACATATACATGTTATTAAAAATTCATGATTGGTAAGTTTTTAATATGAATACTTTACAAACATATATTTAAATTAGGTTAGGTTCTCCGGTTAAAACTAACATCGTGTCCTGGAGGAAAATAGCTACTTACGATTTGACAGCGCTTACCGCTTACGATCGCCATTTTGCTTACAAGCGCTTGCTAGCGCTTTTTTCTGCCAAACGCACCCAATGTAAGTGTCCATTAGCCACAGAATCCACTTACCATCAGGTGGATTGTGGGATCGTTAGTCATCCTTATTCCATTAAAAAAAAAGATAAAATTCGTGTAATAGACATTTCATTCAGCATGATACAGCAGCGTAGACATAAAAAAGCAAACAAAAAATATCAATATATACAAATATATTGGGTTGCAGCACCGGAAAGACATTCGACTCTGCATGATGTCAGGTTGCAAATGCCGCAGTTTTTCTGGAGGTGCCTCATAATACCGAACAGTTATCGGACGTATTTCTATTATAAAAAACAAAAAAGGAGTAGATTTAAAAAAATTATAATCTTATATTAAAAATTAATTTCAATTTTCTTTCTCTTTTTTTAGGTAGAAGAAATAATTGTACACCCGCAATACAACGCGTCGTCGTTCAGCCGCGATGTCGCAATCTTGAAACTGATCGAGCCAGTGCAGTACACTGACTACGTGCGCCCGATCTGCATCTGGCCAGACAACCAAGTTGATCTGAACAACGTTATCGGGAAGAAGGGTTCCGTAAGTCATCATTAATTATTACAGGCATTACATTCTGCAGTCAAACAAAAAAAATCAGCAAACATAGGTCATACTAATATAACGCCCCTTTAGGGAAAAATAACATTAATTGAAAAAGATATTCGAACAGAAGGATTTATTTTAAATAAATACGGAAGATGCAAAATCTTTAGAAAAATAGGTCGGCCATTTGTAAAAATATTGGCGGGAAATTGTTAGCTATTAATTAGTGGCTTAATTAATTGGCTGAGCGGATATTGCGGACGCGATAGGTTTATTTTGCGGACGATTGGAGTGGACTCGCTGTTTGTGTTGGGATTTGGGAATTAAGCAAAAGTTTCAATATCAGATCGTTTACTAAAATTTAGCGGGAAATAAAGGCAAAGGCAATTTTAATTATAATAAACATTTATTTCCTCTTACATACTCTTGTTACATTTATTTTAGATAGCTAAATTATTTTCAGTCGTTGCGGGAGACAGCAGCTCAAACTATAACATAGTTTGTGCCCTCAAACTATAACCTACCCTGTGCAATGGGCCTCCAGGCTGGCTACCCCTCATGGCTTTATTACAATACAAAGATATTAAAAACATTAAGTGGGTGTTGTATGTGAAGAGCTAATATAAGATTTAAATCAAATACTATATATAATAAAACATTGTATGTAGTATATACTGTGCCTGAAACTTAGGTACTTAGAAAATATAACATATAAATATAATAAAGTTAATATTAAAGTTACAGCTTATGTACGTCCCACTGCTGGGCACAGGCCTCCCCTCATTTCTGAGAGGGGTTTAGGGCAAGGCCCAATACGTGTTGGTGAACTTCACATGTCTTCGAAATATTTTTCTCTTATTCCTCAGACATGCAGGTTTCCTCACGATGTTTTCCTTCACTGCCGGAAACTTGGTAAATCAGCATTTAAATTTGCATTTAACAATTTCATTAGTGCCGGCAGGGATCAAACCCGAGTCACTCTCGTACTGTGAAATTTACAGCAAGCGCTAACCATTTGAGCTACGACGGCTGTCAAATATAATATAATTTAAATTATTTATTATTGTATGGTTGTCAGATGGTTTTATTTTCAAAGTTTTGTTTATAACTACGAGTACTATAATTTACTGAACATTTTCCCATATATTTTCAGCATTGAGCACATTTTAAACCCAATTTCAAATACATAGCTTTTTATTCAATCTAGGCTTGCTTATGCTCTTTTATGAAATCAAAATCTACTCAGGTTCGGAAACAAGAACTTCTCAGTGAAGAACCGGCGAGAAAATGTTATAATTTTACAATCTCCTGTCATCATAAATCTGTTCATTTAAAAATAACTGTACATTATTATTATTTATTTTATTCATTGCACACCTCGAACGAAAAGCGGAGAGGTTGGGTTCTACATGCTGTCGAATTTTTAAATCACTCCTTTTACTTACATTAAGTTTATTTACGTTTATTTTACATCGCACTAATATGTTATGGAAAGAGGAAACATTAATGAACAAGCCTGATGCTTTTTTTAATTCTACACGTATTCTACAAATTATATTGTGGATGTCCTGTCTTGAGGTTCATAAATTCTCTGTGTGCAAGATATCTCGAGAACTACTTAACGAAACGACCTAATGTTTGTTGCTATCTTCAGAATCATATAGAGCTAGTTTCTTTCGATAATCACTTCTGTAATCCGTTTCGTTCTTTTTTTAAGTTTCTTTTTTTTTTTTCTTTCCACAGCTAAACCTACGTCAATTTGTTTTTGTTATTTTTCATTTGTTCTTAGATTGAGTGCCTCTTATGTATGTGAAGAAAAAAGTGATATAATTATACTTACCTAAGTATAATACTTACTGTTACGTCAGTTGATCTGGGGGCATACGTGTTAACATGATTACAAATAACTGAAGTGATTAATCAACTATGCTTTCTTACCAAAAGCTTTTAAAACACTTTCCATTTGGATAACCTCAATGCATTAATGAAATTTTTAAAATATTATTACTTTGCGAGATATCAACCAAAGTCGATGTACATTTGGAGAGCTTTTTTAAGTTTTTATAAAGAAGAATCAAACGGGTCAGGTGTGCACTTTTCGATATTCCAAATTATTGATTTATTTTATCGTTTTTACACGCCTGGCAACTGTACTCAATCACTTCATAAATTTTATAAATAAGTAATAAATATATAAGATACAATGAAATGCAAATAAATAGAAAATAGTCAGTAAAAATATATATAAGTACTTAATTATTATCTACCTACAATAAAGAATAAATATATGAATAGGTACTTATATACAAAATCTTTAAATAAATAAAATAATATAATATTAATATAAAAGGTGGTTGCCATTAGGTGGTAGGTTGGGGCTTCGACGAAACCGGCGTTGCGACCGAGGAACTGACGCTCGTAGAAATGCCAATCGTCGACCAGGAGACATGCATCAGATCGTACAGCGACTTCTTCGCAAGGTTCACGTCGCAGTACACCTACTGCGCCGGCTACAGAGACGGTCAGTTCTTGCTCAACAACATAACTGCCAAAGGCTTTTATTTATACTACAAGTTGGTAAACTATTTATTAATCTGTACTACAAGGCTCGCAATTCATAACAAACTGTATGACAGCTGTGGATAGCGTGTACGCGGGAGGGTAGCTAGTACAGTATATATGCCGTTGCATGTTTATAAATGACAATTACTGTTTTCGGCAAATAAAATTATAATGTTTCATTCGTATATTCATACGTGGTAGAGCCACGCTGCAGCTATATTATGGTTGTAGCACGAATGAGTCGGCTCGACCGGGGAAGGACCACGCTCTCACAGTATACCAGCGTAAATAGCATCTGAGTACTGCTGTGTTTCGTATGATGAGTGTAGACCCTTTTTTACTGGAAACTAGGCATTCCATTTTAATTCTCAGGGATGACAACTGATTGATTCTTAATCGAGGGCAAATGTAGATCACTTTGGGTCACAGCATCCACTTACCATCAGGTGGACTGTGTGCTCGTTTGTCACCTTTATTCTATAAAAAATTAATTAGATTAAATCACGTTGACAAAACGCGCACATGTGCGCGTTAAATAATGACGGCGTTTTCTTAGTCATAATTCATTTACGTGGTAGAGCCACGCTATAGCTTTTGTGAATAGGTACGGCTCGACCTGGTCGTCTCTACACTGCACCACACGCTAAAATAAACGTATGGTGAGTGTAGAGAACCAGGGACCCATTTCACTGAAAACGAGGCATTTCCTCTTATTCCTCACGGTGGACAGCACATTCTGCATTTTAATTCGTAATCGAGGATATATGTAGATGTCTATAGGCCACAGCATCCACTTACTATCAGGTGGAGTGTGTGCTCGTTTGTCACACTGATTCTATAAAAAAAATAAAGTCACATTAAACAAATTCAATGTTAAATAGTCGAAAACAGCGAACGTTGTTTACAAAACAAAGAATTAATCTACTCGAGTAATAGAGAATTAATCGTAACATGATAACATAGTGCCAAAAGTCTTAAGGCCGCAGAACCCATCTAGTAATATAAATAGAAGTCTTTGATAACTGCTTTTAACGTAGACAGAGAAACCTATAGACTAATGATTAGCGTGGCCTCGAATGAGAAAAGACGATAACGTAGTTTTAGGTTATACAATAATCTTTATGACTTTTAAACATATTTAGATAACATTTTTAATTGTTCTAAGAACTGAACTGAACAAGATTCACCAATCTTAAGCTCACAACTTGTAAACTCCTTAGATCTCTACGAACTGTCAAAGTTGTTTAGCAAAGTGTAATTTGCTAAACAAAAAAACCGGCACGGAGAAAGGGACAAACAATCACACCGCTCTGTATCACTTCTCTTGCATAGAAGTTATGTAGTTAGTTGTAGACGTATGCATAAATCTATCTTTTTCGTGTGCAAATGCGAAAAAGGCGTCAATTTGTCTATAGGTTTCTCTGTCTACGGCTTTTAAAATGATGTTCACGCATAGTGTGTACTTGTTTTCATTAGTAGGTTTTCTTTTTTTCTTAGGGTTGCCAACTGTCTCCAAAATAAAGTGACAGTCTATTTAGTGATTAGTATAGGTAACCATAGTTTTTATTTTACATGACACGTAATGTTCGTCAAAATAATTTATTTGTATTTATATTAATTTTAATGATTTATTTTAAAAAAATCGCTTATTAATTGTTATAAAACAAAGACAAAATATCTTTCCGATGCCATTAAAGAATTATATTTTAAAAACAACTGTGCAATATTTATGGAGAAAGGTGGCAACATTACAGAGCAGTCATAAGGTTTAATTATTATCCGTGTTAGCGTGGAGGTAGACCTCATTAAAATCAAACAGAGACGATGATTTCATGGTGTTTAGAAATGTCGTAGTACAGCAAAAGGACATCACTGAATAATTGTTTAATATAAATATATTATTATATGAATGTAAATAAGTAAAACTTAATCATATGTATATTATCCTCAATAGAAGAGTAGCACTATGTATTTTATATGTGGTTTGAGGTCTAACTTTTCGAATGCTTTCATTATATATGCTTATTCATTACAGGGACCATCGATAAACGCACCGGATACAGGAAAAGTAGGTCTTTATTAATGATAAGCAAGATACTAACAAGCTAACTCGTGCTTTCCATTTCAGGCATAACAAGACCTAAACTTGCACATATATAAATATAATATTATATTTATATATGTGCAAGTTTAGGTCTTGTTATGTCTGAAATAAAATAAATGTATAAATATTAATATATACATATAATATATATATTAATGCAAGTTTCAATTAAATAATAATTAATTATTAAGTTCTCTATTGTCTTAACAAACTAGCCTAATTTTAAATCTGATTGGCTTCAATTCTTCTCTTAAAATCTCAGCTTTAATTTAACATTAGAATTAGGAGTAACAATGCGCCACTCGGCATCTAAAATCGTGAAAAGGGGTCAACACATCTAAGGTTATAGCTCTTAGCACAGTTTTAAGATAATCTAACTTAGTATTTCCTAGGATATTACTGGATTCAAGTTATCTTATCGTATGCAGGCTACTTAGGTTACTCGGCACTAGAACGACTTTCATATCAATAAATGTAAAATAAAAATAAAACAATCATCCAACACGTTTCTTTGTCACCACTATCGCAAGGTAAATAGATGGCATATATACACCCTTTATTTTATTTTATTTATATATTTATTATATTAGAGAGGCAGAACCTATTAATTTAAACTTTTAAGGTATTCAGAGCCAAATAATCTCCAATGTTTTTGGGTAAAATACAACCTAGATCACTCCTGGCATTGCTCCTTTTAATCGGTTTAGCCATACCGAAGATTAACCCGTACAGACAGTTTTTTTAAATGGCTATTAATTTTTAATGGCATGCAAGTAACGTGGTTACCATAAAGCAGCTATTTCGACATTATAAGCAAACATTTCAATTGTATTTATACCTATGTATGGATACGTAGGTATGTACGTAATGTATTTATATTAATATGTGGTATTTATTTGTTTTTTTTTTCTTAATAAATTAAATTACTTGAATATTTTCAATTTAAAGAATATTATGCGCGCAGAATTTTACGATGCCTTGGACTGACGAAAAGCACTACCTAATGCTGCGGCTACACTAACGAGAAACGTCAATGCCCATAAACGCAACAATTATTGCCTGGAATTTAACGCGATGAACTGCGTGGATACACTTGAACGGTCGACGTCGTTTCAATTTCAACGTCGTTAAACTGCGTTAAATTTTTTTATTAAATGTTCCTTGAACTTCAAGCAAGATGGATGTTGACGCAGCTACTCTATATTTGATGAGTGTAAATTTTTATTATATGAATATATTTTATCATTGCCAAACGAAGAAAAAAGAATACAAAGAAAAAGAGGATGGTGGATGCTACAAATGCACAGGAAACGTACATTGTAAATCTATTTATGTTTATAAATTTAAATTCTATTTTGTTTTTTCGCAACCAAATTGCACTAGAAAGACATCCAATGGTTTAAGCTAAATAATAAGACAAATAAAAAAAAACCAAATATTTAAATAAAAAAACATTACTCCACTCCATCTTATGCACTTACCGTGCACAATGAGACAAAGGTAGTGTGGCCGCTTCAACGCGATAATTCGCGCGTTAATCTTTTGATGTACCGCCACTCGAGTTATCGCCAAACGGGAAACGGCATTGAATTATCGCGTTAATTCGTGGCCACACCTACATTCAACGTCCATCAACGCGATAGTTAACGGCATTTCTCGTTAGTGCAGCCGCAGCATTAAAGTAGGTTTAGAGCTAACCTAAAAATTGAATGATTAAATTATCAATCTAATAAAATTTACAACAGAGCAATAAACCTGACGGAATAACGATTACGAACGACGAAATGCGATTACTACTCCACGAGACAATTTTTTGATAAATCATTACCCACTAGGAATTTTCCTGTATCTTAGAGGCGTGTTTCGTACATAAACTGCATGCACATTGACAAACATCCAGATCAAAAGCAATTCTTGTTATCAATTTCTTGTTCTATGCCTTATTGGCAAAAGTGTCGAATAGAAAGATCTCCTAAAAAAATCACTTTTAGCTGTATTTCTGGCTATTATAGGCTGTTAAAGTACAAATATTCACCTCCTAGTAAAGCCCCTATTGTCTAGAATTCTGTCTACGTACTGTACCATTATCTTGCCCGTTATTAATTTTGTACAGTGATGTTTCTGTTTGAAAGGTTAGTGTAATCACAGGTTGTTAGAGTACAAATATTGATCTTCTCCTGTAAAGTTCCTATTGTTTAGAATTCCGCCCACGTACTGTTACATTATCTTGCTTGTTATTAGAGTTATACTGTTGTGTTTGAGTTTAAAAGGTTGAGTGCCAACATAATTACAGGTTGTAAGACATTCAATTTTAATAATCGTGGATGAAAACAAATCAGTCGTCTTTTTTTATTTGGTGTTCAAGTGCTGCACTAAACACTTATATCAGGTCAGGGGCGGACCGTGAATTTTGAATTTGTTGTTGTTTGGCTAACACTACTTGGGGGCCTACCAAATTAATCAAGCTAATGTAGTTAAAATTATATGTCTTAGATTATAACCAAACAGCAACTGTAAGACATTATTGCATACGAAAATAAATTATGAAGACATTTTCTAGATTTTTGCGCTGCAAATTCCTTTATTTGCTTATCACATTGTCAGTCCTTTGTTAAATCACAATTTATGAAAAGAGCTGAATGAATTTATAAAAAAAGAGAAATTATTGAGGAGATTGTTCGACATCGTTAACATACATTTGTTTTCTTTATACAACATCTTTGTGCGTCCTCATACGGCCAGCAGTGAAGGACCACGTCACGGTTCCATAGGTCATCACTGGCAACACGCACCGGTTGTACCTGACGAGATGTGTCGTAATGTTCCGAACGCTGTCCAGCCGAGGGCTATGCTCGGGGTTTCTCTGCGTGATAAACTATGAAATGAGGATATCCGCAGTAGAACCTGAGTGACCGACATAGCCCAACGGATTAGTAAGCTGAAGCGGCAATGGGCCGGCCATAGGATGGGGGAAAAAAGTGCTCGAGTCGCAGCCTCATACCGGTAGGCGAAGTGTAGGGCGACCCCCCCCCCCCACTGGATGAATTGACGACCTTGTAAGACATGCAGGAAGTCGATGGATGCAGGTTGCTCAGACAGTGCTTTGTGGCATACCTTGGGGGAGGCCTATGTTCAGCAGTGGACTTGTGAAGGGCTGTAATGATGATGATGATGATACATCTTGGAGGTAGAGCACTCAGCTTCATAGCTAGTATTGACAACGTTAAAAACACCTATAAGATAGTAAAGCAATTTGAGTAAACAACAACAACAAGTTTCTTTTCCTTAATTTACATCAACATTTCACAAGGGCACGAGGTGTAAGACTCTAGCTTAGACTTTTGTAAGCTTATGAACGAATTCACTCGTTCATCAAATGTTCGTCTACGTCATCTGGATATTAGTCAATAATATTACGTAGGTACATTTTCCAGATCTGTTTTCGTTATTGTTGCCTTGCAAATCCTTTAAAACTTTAAATGTCTTATTATATGCTTCATAGACTTGGCATTTTCTACTTCTATTTAAATACAAAATTCAAAACTAAGCAAACTAATTCATGCTTATTCAACGCAACGTTTAGCGCGTCTCTTTAAAAATTTTGCAGTAATTCGTCTCTTGTTTATGTCAGTGTATTCTGCTCTCTAATATTTAGGTTTTTAGCTTTCTCCTCATATATCTTTATTTTTTGATGCGATTGGTGTCGTATGTTATGTTATTCACGAACAACACAACTTACTTGTTGCCTTCAAAAATATCCACTCTAAAATCGAGTAAGTATCAAGTTTAGCCACTTTATATAAATATATTTCGTGCCTCTTTTCGAAAATGAACTCTCATCCCATGAACATCCAACTCATGAAATGTTCATATCATCATAAGTAATTATTTTTGAAGCTTTGACAGCTATTGTATTCACTGGGGGCTGGGGACCCTTCATATCCACGGGGGTCTAGGCTGCAGCCCAAAAGGCCTACATACTACAAACCCGCATCTGCAAAAAGTATTAAAATAAAGATGTTTCTGATGACGGAATAACGTTCATATATTACGGGACTTAGTACCTTGTTATTAATTAAAATACACAGAGTAGGGTTACGTGTAGCCAAGTGTACGAATGTACAAAAGTTTGTATGACGATCGCCTGTCAAACCTTCAATTTATTAGAAATACTTATATAGGTAGGTACGTCCAGGACTCCAGCAATAGTACTAGTTGTTATGTGGTGACTTTTACCCACTAAACTCAACCTTTTTCGGAAAAGGTTGAGTTTAGTGGGAAAAAGTCACCACATAACCACGCAGCCGGCTGCGTGGTATGCTATGAGCATTCTCAACCTCCCTCCCCCGCTTTCCGGAGGGTTGCCCATATTTGCTTCGGGCGCAAAAAAAAAAAGAAACAGAAACAGAAACAGAAACTTTTTTATTCAATGTAGATTATAAACAACTAGCTGTTACCCGCGGCTTCGCCCGCATGGTCACTGGGAAATGAACTATCCATTACTTTTTGAATTGAAAGAAAACTGAGTTTTATAGATTTGTCAGAGATGCAGCCATTAAAAGGAAACTGAGCAAAATTGATTCGTCAGCCTATTTAAATGTTTTGAAACGCAGCGTATAGGAAAGCATGAAAATAGCCTGTTTATTCCAAATGGAAATGGGATATTTTTTTTAATTAAAGGAAACTGAGCATAATTATCCGTCAGGGATGCAGACTTTTGAAAAGAAACTGAGCTAAATTGATTCGTCAGAGATGCAGTTTTCTGAATTGAAAGGAAACTGAGCCAAATAAAAGATCCGTCAGAGATGCAGCCTTTTGAGTTGAAAGGAAACTGAGCTTAATAGGTCCGTCAGAGGTGCAGCATTTGGAATTGAAAAGAAACTGAGCTAAATAGGAAATTTTGAATTGAAAGGGAAGATCTGTGGGAATTCTGATTAATTGACTGTGGGAATTTTAGAAAAAAA